ATAGATAGATAGATAGATAGATAGATAGATAGATAGATAGATAGATAGATAGATAGATAGATAGATAGATAGATAGATAGATGATAGATAGAGATTCCAGAGATAATGGATCATTATTCTCATTTCAAGTAGAAGAATCCGGCTCTGTAGAGTAAGATGCAAGTGTCCTATTACAGAAATAAATTCTGGTTTAGAGTCACTTTGGCGAGATGGGTGGCATATAAATTAGGTAAATAAATAAACAAGCTTCTTTTGCTCTTCCGAAGACAGAAAGTGGAAGCAGAGCCAAAGATACTGTTGTCATCAGGTCTCAATAGGACAAGTCTGGCTTTGAGCATTAAAACAACAACATGGATTTAAATAGAGGGGTGAATGTAGAGGGTTGCTTTGAACCCCACACATACTCTAAAATGTTTCATGCACACAAAGTGGGTTTAGTAATCCCTTTTTCATCAACCACTTTCCCCTAGAATTACTACTGTTCAGTACCACCATTTCAGTTTGACGAGAATGAAATTGAACATATTTTTCGCTACCACAGCAGAGAAGCATCTCAAAACTTGCTAAGAACATTTGAAGATGAGGTAAGGATCCTGAATGTTTCCTCAAAGACAGAATTGTTTATTCAAGGGCAATGGAACCTTCCATGTATTCCCTTTAGCCAGGATTTTAAAAAGTAGAATTGGGTGAATGAGTCATTGGGCCTTCCATCATATGATTCCACATTTTTCTTTCCCTTGAAATTATGTGTGAGGTGAGAGAGATATTGCTGAGCCTATTATTTTTGGAGAGTTATGCTTACCACCAATTCTTGATGGGTGTCCTTGTTCCCTTCTGGCATTTACTCCTGCACAGTAATGTTATTTATGATTTGGGCAAGATGATGGCTGATGTATAGACTGAACTTAGTCACTTCCAGACTTGAAAGCTATAACGTGTTCTCTCTAGGAAAGGAAAAATGCTCCAGTAGTGGAAAAGCAAAACGTTACAAGAGTGAAAAAGCCTGAACGTCACAAAACTGAAGCAACTGCTTTAACTGAACCAACTGCTTTAATTTCAGCTCAGCCATCTGTATCAGAAGCAAGTATCAAGTTGCATTAAATTATGTGGTGGGGATGGGGAATCTGTGGCCATCTGGATATTGCTAAATCGTATTTTCTGATGTTCCTTGCAATTAGGCATACAGATTAGAGTCATAGAATCATAGGGCTAGAAGGGATCTTGGAGATAAACTCCCTGTCCTTATAGTATACCATCGTGGACAAATGATTGTCCAATCTTTTCTTGAAAGCCTCCAGTGATGGAGCACCCACTCATCCCAATGACTAGAATCACTGAGAGCTGGATTGTTAAGGCTAATGCATTATGCATTTTATGTATAGTTCATTACCAGTTTATACCTGTCCACAAAATTGCAGATATAATAATTTTCATTTGCACACACAAATACACTCACACTGAGACAAATTTTCATATATGGTGGACTTGCAAAAAGGTTAAGGCATTTTGGATAAAAATATGGTGGATTATGCAAAATGTTCTTAAAAAAAGGATAAAATTTACTCCTCAGTTATTTTTGTTAGGTATAATTATCGACTGTACAGCGGTAGAGATTAACTTGATTTTGTACTTGATAACTGCAGCAAGACTGTTGGTGGAGCAATACTGGAAGAAGGAAGAATTGCCTACAATTCAAGAATGGACATTGAAAGTCACAAATTTAGACGAGATGGCTAAAATATCTGCATACATTAAGGACCACTCTA